GGGAATGGGCTTGATTAAAACAGCCAAACAGCCGTTTATTAAAAATTGGAGAGTCTTGAAATGACATTGGTAAAATAGGACTTCCTGCAGCGTACCCCACTGCTGCTTGTCAGGAGCCGATGTTGTTTTGATACAGCGACTGTGAAAGAAAAGAAACATCAAAGTGTCCCTAAAACTAGAATTCAATATATTCTCCAATAAATCATTCTGGGAGTGAGACATTGTACAGTGGGAAAACCTCTGAATGAAGATGCATGGCAGTTTGGGTGAGGGAAGACCCAGGAAGCACAGGGAGTAGTGGTGTTGGTTCAGGCGTATGGTCTGCAAGGTGGGTTTATCTCAGGTGGGTGAACAAACTGTAGGAGGTAGCCTGAACTTTACTATATCATTTAGAGCTGTCTCTGGTTTAGCCCCTGCTGTTACACCCACAGCTGTTACAGTAGAACTGTACTGGATAGTATATTAGACTGAAATTGTAGAGAGACTTGGGTCCTAAATAAGTGGACAGATGAGAAGGCAGCAAAGTGGCATTGGCAGGAATGGATGTTTGGTCAATTCACATTTCCTATGTGGTATTGAGCAGCAGAGCCAAGCAATCCCAAATGATTTGTGTGTTGAGACATGAAGACAGGGGATCAAAATCAGAACGGCAGTCAGCAGCCAGTGCCAGTTTGCCAGGAGCTTTCATAGTCATGAAGAAAAACATATCCTCGGGGTATCACAGCTATCGTCTTAACTGTACAGATGTGCAAACTGTCTGTGAAGTCATGGGACCAGATCAAATAAGGAATCCGGAAAAGGAGCACCTCTGAGATAGAACAGACGGATGCATGTGCTTTTCGAAGGTTACTTGGGAGGTACCTAGGGCTATCAATGAACTGCTTTTAAAGAAATATAAAAGCCACCCCTCTTCTGTGGAAGCTCAAACTTATGAATTTAGAGCTGGTTTGTGGAAGCACTTTTGGTTTGTTTTGTTTTTTTTAAATAAAAATCTTTGATTTGGAAGGTAGGCAGGTTATCTTGGGAAACTGCCCTTGTCTTAGTGGGTGGACATTTCTGATACCATTTGTTATCAAAACCCAGAAAAACTTGTGACACTGTAAGGAGAAAAGTCTAGCCAAACCTTTCAAAATATCCTAGATGGACGATCAGGAAGTTTGTGAGTTAATAGCTTTTAACCTCAGCTACGTGAATCCCCTGGGAAGCATGAGTCCCTATACAAGAATTCGAGCTCCTGAATTTTGTTTGATTACTCTGATTCTTCTAGACAGAAAATCAGCCTTGAACTAAAGATGCCATTTCTATCTTTAGCTTCCAGGTACTATTTTTCCTTGCTATACTGTATTGAAAAGCTTTATGTCGCTAGCAATTGCTTCCTGGTGTAGCGTCTCCTTACTCAGTCACTGTATGTTTAGATTAAGCTTTGTATGCCTCTCATACTTTTTAGAACCCGAATTATATCTGCAGGTCCTTTTGTAACTCTCGACAGCATCTCAAACCCTCAAAGATGAAAATATCAGAATGGGATGCAGTAATTCAGAAGAACTATTACCACATAATGAATACAAAGATGTATGACTATTTTCTCTTGCTTATATTTTCATTTTTTTACATGACACAGTTTATAGTGACACATTTTGTTCCTAGCTACAGCCACATACTGAAAGTTCATGATCAGTTAGGCACCTACTACATCTAGTAGGATTAGAGGTGAAGATGGTAAAAGATTGAAACTAGTGAATGCCAGTGACATTGGCATCAGCAGGTGGTAGCCAGGAGGAATATGAACCATCTTTTTAATATATTTGTTATCCCCAAGGAGGAAGTAGTCAAATAGTTTCATCAACTTGTATAAGAGAAGACTATTGCTTCTCCAGCCTTGTCCTTTGTGCCCACAGCACCTTCTCTCTCACTTCAGTCTTTCAAGCACCATCCTGTTGTGGAAAAGTCAACTCAGACTCTCTCTCAAATGACAGAATCAAAACATGCTGAAATGTGACTTTTTATGCCACAGACCTAGTGAAGGGTAAATTAATCTAAGTTCATCAAACGTTTCTGCTTCACTTGCCAATTCTCAGAATCATAGAATCATAGAATCATTATGGTTGGAAGAGACCTCAAAGATCATCAAGTCCAACCATACACCCGATGCCACCATGCCCACTAAACCCACTAAACCATGTCTTGAAGTGCCACATCTAAACGTTTTTTGAACATCTCCAGGGATGATGACTCCACCACCTCCCTGGGGAGCCCGTTCCAATGCCTAACGACTCTTACAGTGAAGAAGTTCTTCCTAATGTCCAACCTGAACCTCCCCTGGTGCAACTTGAGGCCATTATTGAGAGCATCAGTACGTCCACAGGTGTTTTCTTTTGCAAAGTGTGGTATGAAAGGTCATTATGATTTCCATCAACTTCAGAGGCTGCTCCTGTTCTTGGTGGTAGTTGTGTAGGCTTGGACAGTGTCTATGAGAGCAGAGCCCAAAGTCTCCGTTCCTGCCTGCCACAGACTCACCTGTCAATCAGCCTTTACATCAGCTTCTTTACCTGCCAAATGGGGATCATGCGTTCCAAACAGAGTCAAAGTAATCTTAGGAGAATATGCCATGGGAAATGGTAGGATGCACTCTTTGAGGGAAAAAGATCACTGTGTTGATGTCAGGCCCTTAAACCTTTTGACCAAATCTTATAGTTTTTGATGTTGTCACATAGAAATATTAGTAGAAGCAAAGGCTAGCGGGATTTGGTCGCTCATTCACAATGTGCTCTCTGATGAAGTCAACACCTAGTTTGCTCCACTCTGGATGAGTTTTCCAGATCCCGTATAGCCATGATATGTTCTCCCTCAGCAGTACTTTTGCTACAAGGGTCTGAAGATCCCATGGTGGCCTTGCCAGATGAACGTGAGTCCCCGTGTGCTTTGCGGAGTGTGCTCTGGCACACTTGCAAGGTTCCTGAGTAGGAAAGGTGAACCTAGACCCAAGGTTGCCCATGGATCTGCCCATACTGATGAGTGCAGGCACTGCTAATTGGACAATTCTCTTAATAAGTGTTTAGTAGAAGCCTGCAGGGCTTGGTTCATTTATTCTCATTTCTTAGTCACTGGATAATGTATATTTTTGGAAAGATCTTTGTTTTTCCTGCAGGGTAGGTGGAATTCTTCCTGCGATATTCTGCTCGCTTGCAACGTAAGTGCTGCAGCCTCACTGCAAGCAGTGCAGAACAAGTGAAATGGGAAGGCGGCTTGTGCAAGAGAAAAAGGTCTTGTTTAAAAGATGCCGGACAATGACACTCGATTATATTTTAAAACCTTTGTTCAATATATCAAAAAATTAGTGCCTCAATCCAAGGGTCACTTGAAGGCAGGATTGAAGTCTCACCCTTTTTAATTCATGTAGCATGATCAAGAAAATCTTACTTTTGATCAAAGCAGGAGCAGCCCAACTGCAGATGATCAAAGACCTAAGAGTTAGTTGGTGTACTGGGAAACCAAATCCGTCTCTCATTAGCGAGCTCAGTAAGCTGCTCAGCTGGAAGTGAGGTTGCAATGGGAGACATGAAGGTTAGAAAAGAAGAAACTCTCAGTCGAAAATGGAAAATTACAGAGTGGATAGCATCTAATTTCTGGGCATTCAGTACTGACAGCCATAAGAAGAGTTCTCTCTCACGGCACTTGAAGCTTGTGTGGTGTTCAGATACAGGATTTGATCCTGGAAAAATGTTGTAGATTTGAAAGCTACAATTGACCTGAATGGACGTAGAGCAGTGAGTCGTCTGTAGTGCTCAGTACCCTGGGAAAATTCAATCCTGTGTGCAACTGTGCTGTTTCTTGTGATTTGGTTGTAGTTGTGTTCCCTGTTATAAAGAATCATGAATTCTTGAGTTGGTTTTCCTGCAGTCTTGTGACTTTTGAGGGATAAAAGTTATTTAGATTTCAGCAGGGGAAGAGAAGGCAATGCAGGGAGAGGACGTTCTGGCGATGACATCTCATCAACTCTGTTTTATGGATATAGAACATGACTCTCATTCTTGTCGAGCTGAAACACAGCAAAAGGAGTAGCGTAGTCAGGTCCGTCACTTGTCAATAATCAAGAGCGTAAATCAAAATAAACTGCACTACACCCTTGCTTCTTAGCTGGATATTGGACTGAGGAAGATGATGGGGAGAACAGTTTCCATTTGTGCTAATTAAGCTTTCTGACAGGCAAATGTATCTTCGTTCACAGGGAACTACATGGTTTAGAGTGGGAGTTAATATGCAGAAGCAGCACGCAAAGCCCAGGGAGTGGGTGAGACTGATGCTTCCTCTGGGAGAGCGCGGGCAGCTGGTCTCCAAACACTCCCGGCAGGACCAGACCCTGCTGAGCGGAGGAGCTGGGTTTAAAGGACACCTGCGGGGGTTGAGGGAACCCGTGTTCCTTGTGCTAGAGCCTGGTGTTGTGCAAAAGCTGTGTCCTGGGAAAGTACAGGATGAAATACTTCTGCGGAAAGAGGTTGACTGGTGCTCCAGGGAGCTGCCTCTGCTAATTTGCTGTGGTGCCCGTAGCAGGAGGGGAATTGCTGTGAAGCAAATAAATAGCATGAACACTCCTGGAAGAAACAGAAGAAAAAGAATTTTTTTTGTCTATTGACTAGATACTGTCTTGCAAATTCCTTAATGCAGTCGTAGTGTCATTCACGCTTCCAACCTGAGTGCTACTGCATCAGTAGCATTAACACTAAGGAGGCTTAGCGTCTGGCTGGCTGCTTCAGATGTGGTTCAGGGCTTATGAATGACAGCCCAGATGATGATTATTCAGCCGCTCAGGCAGGATGAGTTAGTTTCAGTCGAGCTCACCCCATGGCCAGTAACATCTTCTCCCCACTTGGTGCAGAAGTGACACCACCGTCGGTGTCCCCTGTCTTTGCTGTAGGAGGCATGTAGGTGTCCCGTTGGCAGGCATGGTGTCATCTGGCTTGTTTCATGGATCCTCCCTCTGCACTTCTGCAAGGTGCGAAATGGTGAATTCGCCACTGCCAGTGACTCTGGTGGAAAAGCTGGAGCTATTGTGAGAGTAGAGAGACTTGTGGGACAATGCTGGGCTTTTTGAAGCTGTAGGCTAATGGAATAACTCTGCTACAAATACCATGCTGCCTCACGCATTTCCTTTCAGATCCAGAAGTGGTTTATTTTTTACCTAATCCTTTCCTCCTTACCCTTCCGCTTCTTTGGTAACACATCCTTTTTCATTTCTATTTTTGGTTTGTGGGTTGAGTAAACAGACGAGCGACAAAGCTGGTGAAGGGCCTGGAGAAAAAGTCTTATGAGGAGCAGCTGAGGGAGCTGGGGTTGATCAGCCTGGAGAAAGGAGGCTGAGGGGAGACCTGATCGCCCTCTACAACGACCTGAAAGGAGGGTGTAGTGAGGCGGGGGTCAGGCTCTTCTCCCCCGTAACTAGCGATAGGACAAGAGGAAACGGTCTCAAGTTGCACCAGGGGAGGTTCAGGCTGGACATTAGGAAGAACTTCTTCACTCTAAGAGTCATTAGGCATTGGAACGGGCTCCCCAGGGAGGTGGTGGAGTCACCATCCCTGGAAGTGTTCAAAAAACATTTAGATGTGGTGCTTCAAGACATGGTTTAGTGGCTTTAGCAGGCATGGTGGCGTTGGGTATACGGTTGGACTTGATGATCTTTGAGGTCTCTTCCAGCCATAATGGTTCTATGATTCTGTGATCAAAGGGAATCTCTGGGACTCAGGAAATTTCATCTTTGTTTCATAAAATGACACATTTGTCTCCAGTGCCACGGGCTGAAGCCAACTTTCCCCTGCTGTGGCATTCCCACGTGATAGCATGTGCTGTTTGACATCTGAGCTACAGTTCTCTAACTTAGCAGCAGAGTCAGAAGTGCACAGGAAAGATAAAAATGCATATTAATCTAGATTTTTGCCATTTTTATCTGTCCTGAGGCATATACAAGGTACTGAAATCCAGTGTTAGGTGAAAGGCGAGGATGAGGCTGATGGCCATTGCTATCCCCCTTATGCCTAAAGAGGTAGGAGTGGTGTGTAATGTGCTGAGTGTTGTATGGGGATGTCTACCTGCCTCAAGCTATCGTGTAGAACATGCACATTCAGGGTCCCAGCCTTGTCTGACTCAAAGAACCAAAGTAAAGAATGGATACCGCAAAACAGAGTAAGAAAAATGAGTATTGCAGGAGGATGAAAAAGTTGTCTGGACTGGTATCCAGAGCGGACTCCTTCACCCCTGTAAAAGTCTGTAACCAGCAAGAAGTCCTATGGTGTTGGCTCAACAGAGAGAAATTTCAGTTTAGTTTGGGGAATTTATCTGGAGTACATCCACACAGGGCTTTGGCCTGGTGCAACCAGGTGAGCTCTTAATCCAAAATCAGTTGGAGCAGCTTTCAAAATACACAAGTTGCTCAGCTCCACCTCAACAAGCCAAGCATGCAGGAGATAGGCCAGTGCAATGGATTTCAGCTACTCTTTAGCAACGGCTGAATGTCCAGGTGAAGGATTGAGTTGGACGGAGAGCCCAAGCCTTTTGGTGAGAGACCAGATGAAAGTTCATGTTACATGAACTATATTTCCCTTCTGGAGGCTGAGGAAATCTTTTCACAGAGTTGTCACCAATTATGGAGCACTTGAAATACATAATTTCCTCTACAAAACTCATAAAAATATATTTGTTGCCTTGAAGACTATGCAAACACATTTCCAAATCGTTACCTTTTTTAAAGATTACTGAACTATTGTTTTTTTCTGACAGTTTTTTTCAGTTTACTTCTTTGTTAGGAATTTATGATTTCCTCCTCCTGCCACCTTCTAGGCATGGGCTTCCTCCTTTCAATCTCAAGTTTTGTGCCCCTCGCCGGATCACAGAAATGGTTGGTTTGGGATTTGGCAAAGCTGAGGTGGTGAAAACCTCAGGGAGAGGTGAAGGACACACTTCCTAAAGCAGCGTTTGACACGATCGAAGTGTTCCCAGTTGGTAGAAGATTGCTCTGGGAGGCTCTTGGGCTTTTTCCAGTCATACACTATAGTCCCTTTCTGTCTTCTATGGGTTCCTCTCGTCCTCACTTTATCAGATTCATTTCTGAATGTACTTACAAGGCCTCCAGTCATGGGACCCATCCCACCAGGTTGAGAAAGTTGAGAAACTGTTTGCTTTTAGATGCATCTGGCCTTTGGAGGCCTTGTTGGAGAAACCTGTTGTTTTCTGGACACTTTCTCTTCCTACAGTTCCCCTGGGAGCTGTGAGCACTTAGCACTTCTCCAGAACAGATCAATTCTGAAACCCCCCAAGTTTTGATATTAACTATAAACATGAACTACTAGGGAAAGTAGCAAGGCTTTCCTACTTAAGGTTTATATGTTCAGAACTGAACAGACATTCAGGTCAAACATGAATTTTGATATTATTTTTCAATGAGACAAACCCTAGATATTACATTTCCAATGATGGTTTAAATACAGCTCTTCCAGGAATCTTATAGTTTTCTTTCATATTGAAAAATCAAAAGATAGAGTTACAGCCTCACAAATTCTGAGATTTTAAAGGATTTATCAAAATAACTTGCTCTAGCCTTGGTCATAATACCTATTCCTCTAGGTCATCTCCTTATATTTCTTCATTATGCTCGTGACTGCTGTATGAGTATGCACAGTTTTTAGATATTAGGTTCTAATACAGACTTCTAATAACAAGTGGTGAAACTGATACAGAACTTGGTTTAAACCCTAAATTTTTTTGTCATTTCAGTACAGTCTCATAGAATTTACTGGACAGCCTGGGCTTTCTCTGGCCCCTAAACATGACTAGCTACCATTGTGTTTTGTTTCCCCTTCACTCCAGTTTTGATAGCTGAGATTGAGGAATTTAACAAAAAAAGTCAATATTTGTGTCTGTATTTTAGTTAAGAATAGCACTGTCATTTGTGCTGTGTCTGAGCGTTCAAATCCTTTCGGTCTCAAAACCATCCCAAATTTTTTGAGAAGAAAATCCCAACTTCCCTTCCCTTCTGAATATTCCAAAAGAGAAATCCCAATGAAAAGTTCCATTGCATAGAGCTATGCAAGAATCTCCACAGACTTTGCTTTTCTCCTCCAGCACTTTGCTTTCCACCTAAAACCAAAATTTAAGGTACTGTTTTTTAAACGCTTAGCACATTCAGGGGCCCAAAGGATGGGAACAGTGCTTTTTAAGTGATCAGTGCTTTTCCCCTGACTTTCAGTGGCAGCTGCCGTGTGCTGACTGCTGGAAAAGGTGGCTGGTCCTTGTTGGTGCCTACTAGATAGATGAACTCTTGTAGGGATGAACAAACTGGATATTGGTGGGTGTTCTGCAATCAGCAATGACATCTGTGTTTTCCTGTGAAGTAATAACCTGCCTATGGGCCAGACAGTGTAGTCTCAAGTTAGGCAAAAATCATAAATGACAACTTTAAGCAAATTTCCATTGATGTGTAAGACAAGTATTCTAGCCTAAGCCTTATTTATAATTTTTTTCCTTGTTCTTCTTCAGGTATTTTGAGTTTTATGAAGGGCCTTTGGAGTACAACTCTACCAAATGCCTGGAATTACGGCAGGACATCATTGAGGTGAAGGTTTTGTCTATGTAAGTATGAATGAATGCTTGCTGAAAAGATTACTTTTCAGGCAGGATGAAAACAATAACTTACAATGATGTCAAAAGATGCAAGGCTCAAGAGATACCATCAATAGGGATCTCCTCAGAGATTCCCGAGGTTCTCCTATATGTGCAAGCAGTGACATTTGAATTTGATTGGAGGTCCATTTGAATGAAATGGAGGCTTTTCACATACGTTGAAGCATTTTGTTCAGGCCCAGTATCACTGTTTGGAATTAAATACAGTGTTTATAATATTATTTGTAATATTATATTCCAGGTAACTGAAGAGTAGGAAGAGCGAGACTGACTCATAACAAGTGTCTATCTAGCTTAAGACTCTATCATTGGCAGTGGCCAGTAGTGAAGGCTAAGAAATGAAGCAAAAAGTTTAGGCCTTCCTGATAACAAATACTGGCCTGGAGACTTGCTGGTAGTAGGTGGTGACTAGACTACAGTAATCAGAGTAGACAATAAACCCCTCTATTAACTGGTTTAGATCTTTTCTGAGCCCATTTATATTTTTGACCTCTTCAATCAGCAGTGAGTTTCACAACTTAATAACACTCAGTAAAAAGTAGGAAAATGTGTTTCTGAAAACCAATAAAATATCTACAATTTGTCTTTTGTGATCCTACATGTACATCAGGAAACTAATGAGTTGAATGAAATGTATCTGTGAAGCCATAGCGATGGAATTGGGCAAAAATGTGAGGTTGCCAATGGAACTCATTGGACAGAGCATAGCAGGGTAGTTTTGTGTTGCCCTTTTGCTTTTTCAGCATTGCACTGAATTTAGGTGCTTAAATTATGCCTAATTCCTTAACATATCTAAAACCAGTGGTTCAGTAATCTTATTGACAGTCCGCAAGGCTCATTAAGGTCTGTAAAGTGCACTGAGAATCTCAGTTGAAAGTGCAGCTATACAAGTGCATAGCACTAAGCAATCAAGGCTACAGAAAATACAACTTGTTGCTCCAGGTCTGCGTGATTTTTGAGCATGTCTCCCTCACTGACTTTATGCACAGAAAAATGTAGGTTATGTCCTTGTCTTCTGTATTTGGTACTGGATGAAGGATACACGAATAACAACTTTGCACTGCTTGCTGACTTGCAGTGCTTAAAAATAAATAGAAGGGGTGAGAATGTCACACTTCTGCCAATGTTTTGCTGAAGGTGGGGAGGTTTGAATTGCTTTTATGCATACTTATCCGATGGTACAGAGAATTACTAATCTTGATTCATCTTATCCAATCACCTGTATAAGGTAGTGGACTCCTGCTCAGCTAGATAGAGTTAGCCTTACTTTTATGATAGATACCATTTGATGTGAAGCTCTTTTACTATGCTGGGCTCTTCTGATGTGCTTGCTTCTAATGTGCTACATTTCCTAAGTCAGCCCTTATGGTAATGGAAGATTTCCAAGTTAATGTGCTCTGGTGGGCTCCAGAAAGTACAATATGACCTAATTCCTTCCTGTAACTTCCACAGCCTGGGAAATCCTAAGTTTTACTCGCTTTAAATATATAATTATCTTAAAAGTCTTTGCTTTATTCAAACATTCACAGCCCTCAAGCCTGAGGAGAACTCATTAAGACCTATCAGTCTTGAAGAAATCTCAGACTTCAAAATTTCCTAGCCAGATATGACATTGCTCCCTAGCTCTAGATATTTGCAAGGCCTTCATTATCTCTGTTGTCCAAACACAGAAGAATATGTATGAACTCTAAGGTAGAAGTGGTTGGAATTGATGGTATCACCAAGAACGTGTCATCCTGTATCAGCCTAGTAGAAATAAGAGTGTCATTTTTTGATATAACTAAAAGTATATTTGTTAACAGAGGGGGAGGGAGAGATCCTTATGTAAAGAGCTTTTCGTGTCCTCTTACAGTCACAGATGCTTATCCCTACATGTGTGCTTTTGCAGTTTATAAAATGGATTTACCAACAGTGCTGTTCTGTAGGATCTCACGGATTAAGATAACTTCACCAAAATAAAATGGTAGTTGGCCAAATTAGATAAATATCCTCTTTTCCAATACCCTCTCTGCTGGGCCCTTCTACTAGATGCAACTTCTCCCCCCCAAAGCTGCTGTAGTTACCAGACACTCATTAGCTTCCCAGCAGACTGTGGACAGACTTTGGTACAGTAGATGCTTGCTCGATATTGCATTTTTTTATCCTGAAGAAATGGAGAATGCCTATCAGGGAATAGAAATCAGTCCCAAACATCTGAAGAGCTCCATCAGTACCTGTGTATAAATGGCTTAAAGTTGCGATCTCTGAGCAGAAAAAGGAAATAAAAATGATGAATTTTGCACTTGCTAGACTGACTGCTTTGCTCTATCAAAAGCCTACAGCATGGTACCCTGGCTGCAGCTGTTTTAGGAAATGAAGCTCTTGTAATAAACTTTATTTTCTTTTTTTTTTTTTTAAATCTTTTAGGGTGAAACAAACTGAATTGTTTGACAGATGGAAGAGCCTACAGATGTGCAAATGGGAGATGAATGTGACAGAAGCTAATTTATTCAAGTAAGAACGGTCCACATTAATGAGACTGAGTAAGATTTACTTTAGTTTGAGTTTAGTTTCCTGTAGAGAGATCAAACCTTCATATGGATAGCAAGACTAAGCATTATAACACTGTTACTGTTGGAGTACCATCCTTTTAGATAAATATGGACTTTTTTCTACTTTAAAAAAGTCAACGACAAGAGTGAAAGAGAGCTCTTCCGGCATGTGGAAAAATCTTCATAGGAAAGGCAGGGAATTTGGTACGAGAAAGACTTCCAGGTATGATTCAGGCAGAAGTGAGGATAGAACCAAGACTTAATGGCTGTACCTAATACTTCAACCTAACTCTCTGGTGGTGTAAAATGGTAATATCATTGGTGACGCTGCAAATTTGGCCTACAAAACACTCAAACTGGATTTTTTTCTGTGGTCTGCTAGGTACTGTCAGACCTGTTTATGACTTCCTTTTTTTTAATGGTTTCTCAGCTTTTACTCCCTGACTATCTAGATATTTTTTCTGGTCTTCAGAGACCTCTGCAATTTGTTTCTGTAGTACTCTGTCTTCCTTCATGTGACTTCTTCTTAGCTGCAGGTCCTCCGTGGTCCTTTCAAGATACAACTTTTGAAATTGGTCTTGTGAAGGCAATAGTAGAATGAAGCAAAACATTTTAATGTTGTATATTGATATATTCAAGGGCAATATTTGAGTAGGTCTAGAGAAAACACATTATTTCAGAGTAAGTGGAATATAGACTGGTTAAGTCTGTAAATCACTGGCACAGTTCAGAGCTGTTGTTTAGAATAAGGCCTCACAACTTTCTCCCAAATTCTCTTGCATGATTCCAGGAAATAGCTGTCACGAGTTAATGACAGAATGTGAGAATGCATGTGCTGAGTTAGTCATTAACATCTTTAAAAATAACTAATTATTAGTCCCAGGCTCATCGCAGTTTTTCCAACGTGAGCTCCCCACATAAGTTTTGTAGAGGTTTTTTAGTATATTTTTTTTCTGGAAATGACTTGATGGGCAATTATCAGCGCCCATTTTGAAGACAGGAGCCATTCAGGATTAGAGCCTACTATCTTAAAGATTGCTTGGAGTAAAAGAACTAATGATTGAGCCCAGAGTGCAAGGAGCACATTGGAGTATAGAGGCCAGCTCAGAGGTGGGAGTGATGAGAAAGGACTCTCTAAAGACCGTCAGGAGGACCATCGCTCTCTCTCAGGCCGCCAACACCAGCACACGAAGCAAAGAACCCCTCTACATCCTGGACAGTGTATTGAGAGAAAGAAGAGATGAAGGACTCCTGTCGCTGGCTATACCTGCCTGCCTGATATATCACTGCTTAAAAAACTTCCACTGGCACCTAGATGTAACCTAACTTTTGTTAGCTGGTTCCAGGAACAATAATCATGCTAGTCATGAAAAAAAAAGAAGTTCAAAGTCTGTTTAATTTTTGTCTTATGCGACAGTGATTCTATGATTCTATGACACAGACTTCAGTGTGTGGATGTCCAGGGAAGCTATAGTCCCTTAAAAGCAGACCAAAGTCTCTGAGTTTGGATGTAGACTGGTAGAAGGCTAAAAGGTGGTAGTTGAACACGGAGCTATGGGTTTTCGAACTTTGCCAGTTCTGGACCATCAGGTGAGATGGGGACAATCCGGCAAAAGTTAAATGGCAGCTACTTAAGCAGCAAGGAGGGAGGAAGCACAAAAATCACTCTAGCTTTTGTAACTGGAGACTAAGGAAAACAGTTTCCTTGGTAGTCTTCCACCATCAAATATCAGACATTTACATTAAGGAACATGCTCCTGGAAAACCAGTTGGTCATTAGATTGAAAAACAACATCTCTTTCAATTCCTTAATGCAGAACTAATGAAGAGTTTTTTCATATCTCAAATATCACAGTTCAATCCCACTACCTGCTTGTAATTATTTAATGATTTCGTTACTAGAAATTATTCATTGACTTATTCAGTTTCAATTGCTGCCTTGATCTGATCATCATATTGTGTCATTCTGCATGAGTCAAATGTGTAATAGTAATTGGACATCACTGAAATGTTTGCATAATTCTGTATTTGCTTTCTGGTGCTTGTAATAAAGCCCATAAAGAAGACTGGCTTATTCTTCCATAATGAGGCTACATACCCCAGAGGCAAGGTATTTAATCTAGGTTATCTGAGAGCCATTTGGCTTTGCCTTCATGTTTGTGCATTTGCCATGACATGCATTTTTCTTTAAAGGTATAAGATGCATTTACTGAGAAACAAATCTGCTCTGGAGTAAGGGTAAGCTGAAGTCAAGGCTTTCAGTTCCACCAGTAAAAGGAGAAAAGCATTCAGCGAAAGATGGGAGCTAAGAAATGGACCCATATTTGGAAAGATGCTTTTCCTGTTTAAATTTTATATGAAACTTATGGAAGGGGATCAGAGCTGAATGTTTTTTCTCTCATGCCATGAATCCCAATTTTGAGATTTTAAAACTGTTCTTGTTTGCGTTGGAATACCTGCAGTTTTATCCCAGGGACAAAGAAAATTTTGGTCATTTGTCTGAGATTTTGGAGTTGTAGCCATGACCAGTCTACCTGGCCCTCATCTGTTGGCGACACATCATCTTCCTGCTGTACATATGCAAGTTCAAAGGCAAAACTAAGACCTTTAAAAGTTTTTTTCTAATCTAAGTATGCTCTGCTCCCCAGTAGTCTGGTAAGTGGGGTAGTGTCTTTAGATATTGCTGTGTTTAAGATATTGCCCTGCCAAGCTTCCATATCCCCAGATGAATACTTTAACCCCTACGTTTCCTGCCCAGTGATGAGTAAATAATTTACAAAAAGTAGTAGACCTCTAAAGCAGAGAGAGATTAATTCATTAGGATGTTTCCCCAGGATATTGGGGGCAGAAGCTCAGCTTTGGGGTCTGGAGCAGGGCAGAATTTGCACATGTATTTCCTACAGCGTAGAAGAGACAGGTACAGGGATCTAATTTCTTCTGGGCTTTTTTGTGTGGTGTGTGTTTGTTTGTTTTTTTTTTTAACCATAAGTTCCTCAATCAGGGAAAATGTCACTGAATCTAAAATTTTCTAAAGGAAAACCCAGCAAACCACCATTTTACCCCCCCTACAGCTAAAAAGTTTCTTTTTGCTGAAAAAATGCCTTGTTAGCAGTAATAGTAATTGCAAAGCCTAAAGCATGCTATCAGCTCCTTGATCTTACTTCTCTCTTTTTCATTTTACAGGTCTACTTTGTCGAGGTGTTGCAATGCCCCTGCCTTTCTGTTCACCACCCAGAAAAATACTCCCTTGGGAACTAAACTGAAATATGAAGTGGATACTAGTGGAATCTTCCATATCAACCAAGAAATCTTCAAAATGTTTCCAAAGGTGCCTCATGCCTCTGCCCATTTGCAGAATCGACTTCACTTTACTTGTCGCATTAGATACTGTCCTATAGCCAAGCATTTCACAGTTCGCTGTTTGACATTTCTACAAACTTTATTGCTTACATTTTGAAAATGTTTATTTTTGATATGATATTTTAGCTGATTATCCGAATTTTCTAGTGGTCATCCGCTCTAGTATGCAATATATAAATATATTTCTGCAGAATATTACTGACCTAGCAGCAAAATGGCTAATGAAATAACTTAAGCAAGCTGAATAAAAAAGGCACTTACTGATCAGAAGTTTTAAAAAGTACAGTAAACACATACAATAAGTCCAACATTTGGGGTAGCTCTGCTTTTTAGGGACATGAATATTTTATCATTCATATTCACAATGACTAACTATTTTTATACTTATTTCTGTTTGCAGCTTATCTGTGAACAGGCTGCAGCATTTTAAAATATATTCATCAAAATGATTATTCAAAACCTTTTCAGCAAATAATCCTTGACCTGAGAGTCATTCAAAGTTATAACCAGTGGGCAATTCCCATTGCACATAGTGACTGATTTGCAGAAATGGGCTTACGTGACTACTGATTTATCGTGAGGCATACCTCATGAATTTTAAATGGCATATTTGAAGGGGATAACTGAAATTTATCCCTTCCAGAAAGTCAGAAAAATGTTCAAGTTAAGTACTTAGATTTGAGTCATTAAGGTTGTCCTTTAGGGTCTAACCACTTTTAATCCGTTTACTTTCTGAGCACTACTAAGAGGTAGGGTAGTGCTGTTATCTAAATGTGCACATGGGGAACTGGGGCAGAGCAGGGGAAAGGCTCAGATCCAGGAAAGCACTTTGGCATCTGGAGACGTGCAAAGAATGGGTGCATCTAAGTCCAGGAGTATTATCCTCAAAACCCTGCCTGATTGCGCAGATGAACGCATGAAAAACTAGACACCTACGCTTTTGCTAGGAGTGTCCTATAGCTGCAGTTGTATTTATGTAGGTATGCCTTGAGGATGGTTTGAAGGTGCTATCACATACCAAAGTGCTTTGGGATTCACTGGGCAGCAGCTATGTGGCCAAAACCACCCTCTGCCTAGGAGCAGGGCTGCATCATGGAAAATGTAGGAGATAAAGGGCTGAAAGCACGGGAGCAAGACTGTAACGGCAAAAGCCTTGTGCTGAATGTGGAGACCTGGCTTCTGATCTCCCTTTCAGGACTGCTGAGGCATTTTGTGTTAAGAAATCCCTGGATAAAGCACAGACAACTCTATATTTCCTCTCCGTTAAGACAGCTGCTGCTTTTCTCAGACAGGTGTAATTGCATGCCCTTTTGCCTCATGGCTTATGAATGCTATGGAAAGATCCTGGGAATTATCACCTAGAAATGTCATGGCACTATCGCATCTCTCTGTAGTTTGCAGTATGAAATTATTGATAAAATATGTATGTACCAAAACGAGCACTCTCATGCTTATATAAGCACATCTCTACATATTCATAAGGTGTAGCACGGCTCAGTTCTGCGTCACAACTGTCTCACCCTAACAGCCCAGTTCTGTTCTCGGAGATTTTCACTCTCTCTGGCTTCAGCAGCAGCTGCGTGTCTGCATATGAAGACAGAGTTTTACCTGAAGATTACAGAAAGATGCATCCTACACAAGTCCAAAAAGGTGTCTGACCAAAAGCTCTGGGCACTGCTGGTAGTACAAGTGCTAATTAATAATCATTAATACAGTTAGTGGTAGCAAGCAGTAAAATTTAGGCTAGGTTCTGATAAATAGCTGTAATGTGCTGTCTGACACAGAGAGACTTCTTGGGCTTTACTAGCTGCTCTGGAATTATGCATACAGACTTCTCAAAAGCAGGGCATCAGAGCCTGAGGAGCGAGCAGTTTGCAAGCAGCTCAGGAGGCAATGCCTGGGGTGTGCTAATTTTATGGTTCATGCCCTCATATGGAAATCAGAAGGGAAAGCAAGTTTCTAAAATGATTTCTTCCGTTATTAAGTCTGGACAAAAGCAGGCTATTGCTTTTTTTCCCTCTGAATTAGTTGCCCATACTATCTCTAGTTGCACAGAAAACAATCCCATCCATTTATGTACACCATGGAATTATTGCGGGCCAGAATCAGTGTCAACTTCCTATGATTAGTGCATCTGCAGCAAGATGCATCTGCACAAAAAAACCAAAACAGTAAGAGAGATTTATTGCCTCTATGTTTCGGGATATTTAACTGTTTCCTTGCTCTGATGTTGCAGGATATGCCATACCACCGCTCCCAGTTTAAGAAATGTGCAGTGGTTGGGAATGGAGGAATTCTGAAGAACAGCAGATGTGGCCGGGAGATTGACAGTGCAGACTTCGTGTTTCGGTAAACACCACAGCACCATTTTTCTTTTTGCCTCTTTTAATGACAAATAAAGGATTGGAAAGCTATTCTCTCTCACATGGAAACATGGGATTTGCCAAACTGGCCATATCAAGCCTGCTTCTTGCACAAAAAGCAATGTTTCAGAAAAAACACCTCACTGTATAGTATTTATTTTAAAATTATGCTTTGAGGAATTATTTCTCCCAAACTCCATGTGGTTAATCATTGATTTATTGGTTTCAGAAAAAACACCTCACTGTATAGTGTTTATTTTAAAATTATACTTTGAGGAATTATTTCTTCCTAACTCCATGTGGTTAATCATTGATTTATAGACAAAGCTTGGTGTCCTCTTTCAGGACATCACCTGGCACTCAGGTTGTGGATTTATCCTTCCATGGACATTAGCCCATAAGCAGTGTCCTATGAACATGGCCATGATTTTCTGGGGCAATTCTGAAGCAAAGGTACAACCTCTATTGTGTGACAAGCAGCTTGGCCAGATGTTAATCGCTCCATGCTGCGCAGCTCACGTGCCTCAGAGGTGTGTTTCTGAAGTGGTGCAGTCTCTTCAGGGGAGACCTTCTTGCTCTCTACAGCTACCTGAAAGGAGGTTGTAGCGGGGTGGGGGTCAGTCTCTTCTCCCAAGGAACAAGCAAGAGGACGAGAGGAAACGGCCTCAAGTTGTGCCAGGGGAGGTTTAGATTGGATATTAGGAAGAATTTCTTCACCAAAAGGGTTGTCAAGCATTGGAACAGGCTGCCCAGGGAAGTGGTTGAGTCACCATCCCTGGAGGTATTTAAAAGATGCATAAAGTGTAAACATGGTGCTTAGGGACATGGTTTAGTGGTGGACTTGGCAGTGCTGGGTTTGTGGCTGGACTCGATGATCTTAAAGGTCCTTTCCAACCTAAACGATTCTATGATTCTATTCTATGATTCTCAAGTGCTGGATAATGGGAGTTACGGTAATCAGTACTGTAGACCCCAGGCTGTGCAGAGACACCTGAATAACTTTGAAGGTTGTGTCTTCATATTGTGCTCCCCACCGTATGTGAGGTTATCCAGGTTCTGCATAGGCTGGGATGTCCCATGACTTGTGTCCCTGGGTAATTGAGTTTAGCAGCGCTTTTATCATCCTTAATATATATGAGAAAGATTTTTTTATTATTCATATGCATGACTAATCCCTCGCTAAATCCTGTTAATCTCTTTGCCTGGGTCACAGCATATGACAAGCTAGCTCATAGATTCATGACCTGTTCCGTAGAAAAGAAGAATCTTTTTACTTCTGTTGGCCTATTTTTTGATTTTAGGTACGTTGCCGTCAGTTTAGAATAACTGTGCGTAAGTCAATTCATTTCTCTGATTTCATACCGGCAAAAATTAGGTCAGATTTTGGCTCCTTGCATTCTTAATTTAATTTGGCATCAAATGAGAAATAAAATTTTACAGGTCCTACCTTCACTGTGTCCACACTTCATAGTGTTCAGACCCTTGTGTCTGCCTCTTGTGCCCACTTTATAGAAAACTATTTTCTTAGTTTTAATCTGTGAAACAGTCCAGGCTTCACATAATTTGCTTCTTAAAAGCCTGGTGTAGCCCCTATACATTAAATAATTATTGTAGATTCCTTTCTATTATGTTGGGTCACAGCTATCAGTATGGTTGAAAGGAGCTATACGTGTTACACATGGGGATGACAAGCTGTTGAGTGGAAGTAGAAACATGGGCAGCAAATGTCATCATTTAGGTATAAGAACTTTCAGTGGAGGTCCCTTTTTTACCACTCTTACTCTTCCTTGAACTATCCCAAAACTGATTAAAAAGAGCAGATCAGATCACTACAGAAATTGGGTTGCTTTTGGTACCAGTAATTAGTTAAATAGAGGCTTACGTAGAACTGAAATGTGAATAAAAACATCAATCCCTGTGCAAAAGAAACCCCTGGCTCACCATCTCCAAAACATGTGGGACCAGTGTTATGCACAAAGACATGCTGGTGTTTAAGAGCTTAAGGTCTGCTGACACCCATTTTAAAGTAAAGCTTGTGTTTAAGGTCAGATCTGAACACATCCAGTTTCCAGTCTAACACCAGTTCACCAAACTGTCAGGAATCACCGTTTTGGTCACCAAAAAAATAAATCTTTAAACTATTTCAAAACCTGCCTATGGAGAACTGCTAACGTTCAGTGAGACCTTCAGGACACCTGGGAAAATCTTTTATTGTCAGGAAGTTTGTGGTCAGCAGGATGCAACTAAGATTTTTCTATAAAATAAATTCTGATAGCAATTAATTATAGTACAGTAGAATATATAAACTACACACACATGAATTGCATTTACTAGTTGTTATTGTCTATCTCCATCTACTGGCCAGCGTAGAGATTTATGATGAAACATGGGGCGCATTTAGAGATGGGACTACTCTCTTTGCAAGAATGAATTTTTGAAGTCTAATGTCAAAAGTACAGTTTATGCAGATTCTATCATTTTTATAAGGAATTATCACTTTCAACAAAATCGGTCTTTCTTAATCCTGGTGGGAGATTACTATTCAAGAATATTGAAGCTGAGTATTTGAAAACCTTTTTCAAACATAGTCTAAGGAGCACGGTGCCCAGTGCTAGGTGGAAATGAGGATGCTAGAGGACTTCAGAAGGACGTTGCATGACCTAGCAGAGAAATAACATTGCCTATGAGAAGGATGAGGTGGCTAAAAAAATTCTCTGACCTGATAAAGAGGGATTCTCTGGAAGGTAGATGTGAACCTCCTGAGTCTGAGAAGGTACTTTGAAGGATTTTTGTGCATTCTTCTGTTCCCCTACTCGCTCTGTCCTTGTGACTGAGAAATTATACTGAGAACTGAAATGTAGTGTTGTGAAAACAGTGAGTGTCGCTTAACGCTAAATACCTTTACAGTTTTCTCCTATTCAGCCCTGATCTTCAGAAATAGGAGATATTTGGGAATTAGGCACAGCAGTATTTTTGAGATGTGGGGATCTTAACAGTGATGGCTTTTATTGAGGCTCACAGATCACCTCAAAAAGTTTTCAAAATGCCAGCAAGTACTTAATGCTAGCTTAAAGTGAGTGTAAAACTAGTTGCAAGGCTGCTTATGTTGCCTCTGATAACAAATGCTGAAGCTTTTTTTTTTTTTTCAGCTGGGTTTCCTAAGGAAGTGAAGCTTGTGTGATAGCTTGTGTGTATGTGTGTACGTTTCACTAACTTCAGCATCTCTTGAGGGATGCTCTGAATTTTGTGAGATGGTGCATCTAGGTCAAGGCCAAGGTGAGCAGAGGCTAGGCAAAGTCAAGGTTTGCAAATCTTCACAAGTTTGCTCCTAAGAGCTTTGACATCCTCTGGTGAATCTGTAGAGTCAGAATTGCTGCTGTTACACTGTGCTGGGAGATACTTAGAAAGGGAAAAAAGAAGGGAAGCAGATACTTTTGGATTAATTAGGAATGGACTGATTTGTCTCTTGTGGAGCATTTCACCTAAATTCTCTTGAGTATAAAAGCATGTTAAAAGCAATGTTATAGATATAGTTTATCTATTAATTAGTGAATACAGCTCAGCTGTTGCTGAGGAACTCTTTGATTTTATAGGTTGATTGTCCTTGGCGCTTCATTTCATTTCTTGTCCTAAACTGCTGAAGTAAACAGCTGAGCTGCTATTAAGGAGGTAAAAAGAGTGAGCATTGGCTACATCTGCAAAAAGGGGTCATCTCTCACAGTCTCGGGGAGGAAGAGAGGTCTTCATACAGCCCCTAAGGACTTGTTACTTTAATGAGCACTTTGGGCATCAACGTGTTTTGATACAATTTTAAATTCTCAATCTGTTTCTAGATTTGTTGCTTGGAAGAAATGCTTAAATCAATTCTACTTTCTAGTCCTGAAAACGTGCAAGAAATTTTTTAACTTTCTTACTAATTTCTTTCCTTTATAGATGCAATTTGCCTCCTATATCTGAGAAATACTTCATGGACGTTGGGGTGAAGACAGATGTCGTGACTGTCAATCCTAGTATAATTACTGAGAGGTCATTGCTGGTTTTTTGTATTTTCATCTCTATTGCTTTTCCAAATCTATCTTTCACTTCATTCTAACTGTTACGGAGAATTTTTTTTTCCCAATATTACTTTAAACTGACACTACGAATCATACAGTTCACTCTGAATTGAAGTTATTCAATATATGGAATCAGTCACAACTTTTAGAAATGTGTTGGACACTTAGACCCATGCACTGGTGACAGAAAGTGAGAAACTGATGAGTTAAAATTATAACAGCAGAGCCGTCCTTCCCCTGGAAGTCTTGGGCCATGCTTGCAAGCCCCAGGCAAATGTCTCAGAAACATTTAGGGTAGAAGCAACTGGATCCCACCCTAAATGCTTAAATAAAGTAACAAACATTGTCATATGTTTTTAAAAAATACCAGTTAAGCCTTGTAGCCAGGACTGACTGGGTGATTTTAATTTTAAATTTGTTAATACCTTGATACCACCTTGCTGACGGGTTTGGGACTATGGGGCTAGTTACTGCTTTCCTTTCTTGTGGGGGGAATGTGTTTCTTTTCTCAAGCAACATAAAATAATTTGCTTGCATTTTGGATTTCTTTTAAATGTTACAGTTAGACATTTTAGACATTTGCTCTGCTTTGGCGTTTGCCACTTTTTTATTTGCCACTTTATTTTGCGCTGCATAGTGCACTATACAGCTGTCCACACCTTGGAAAAATGACAAACTTCTCATAATAAACTGAGAAGTGAGACATAATCAGAAATGTCTACAACGTTTGTCCACTGCTTAATGAATGTGTTGCCAAAAGAGAGGAGAATATGAATTTTTTTATCCCCTGTGTTTTTGCCCTACATTTCATACTGATGCTTTAGCTACAAATCTAAATATATTCCCCTTGTTAACTGAAACGTCATTTCAATTATCTGTGTATCAGAAATGTTTCAGTAAAAGCCCATTAGAGGTTTCTTGTCTGCTGGGTCCACACTGAGTCCACACTGGTCTGACCGTCACTCGCATCCTTTTCCCTTTAGGTTTCATAAGCTGGAAAAATGGAGGAAACCCTTTTACGACGTGCTCCAGGTCTACGAGAATGCTTCTGTTCTGCTACCGGCTTTCTACAACACTCGCAACACGGATGTCTCAATCCGGGTCAAATATGTCCTGGATGATTTTGAATCTCAGCAAGCTGTTTATTACTTTCATCCCCAGTATCTCATCAACGTCTCACGCTACTGGCTCGGCCAAGGGGTGCGGGCAAAGCGGATTAGCACTGGACTGATCCTGGTGACTGCTGCCCTGGAGCTCTGCGAAGAGGTCCACCTTTTTGGCTTTTGGGCCTTCCCCATGAACCCCTCAGGGATTTTTATAACTCACCACTACTATGACAATGTGAAACCTCGTCCTGGTTTTCATGCTATGCCCTCAGAAATCTTCAACTTCCTCCACATGCACAGCAAGGGGATCCTGCGGGTTCATACAGGGACCTGTAGCTGCTGTTGACAGGGACACTTCTTCCTCTGACGCAAAGGTGTAACAGGAACTCAATGCCTGTGTATGCTGTAGGAGGTTTTATTACACCCTGAGATTATGCAATAATTGTTTGATATAAATTTCCTCAAGGCATTGCATCCCATAGGATCTAGGATACCAGCATCTTTCCTGCGAGCAGAGTTGGGTCCGTAACAGTGTAGGAGAAGCAAAACTCCTTTGTCCCAGGGTGTACACTGCCCTGGAAAGCAAGTCAGATAAGAAGCACATTTCCAATAGGTTTAGGGATAAACAGAGCACATTAATATATTCATCATTTCACTATGAAGGAAAGCACCAAACTTTTGAGGAGAATCAGTGATGGAGAATTTTAACATAGACTGTATGACTTTACATAGGTTTCTGAATCGAATACCTTGCAGCATCGCCAGATTTTATTGAAAGCACTGTTCTCTGGCATTTGGGTTTTTGAAAATACTCTTTAGCATTATACTTTTAAGGGGAGGTATATAACTTGAGGTCTTTGTTCTCTAATGTCACAAAGTATTGGTGAAAAATAGCAGATAGGTGTGATAGGAATAAACAAGATCACTATGAATTTTTTCAGCCAGGATAGAAGAAAATGTTAAACTCCCATTCACAACAAGAAGTAACTGTGTTGATCATAGTGTGCAATTGTTTTAGAGTTTCCTTCTTCTTCCTTCTTGTGTCTTACATTTCTGGTTTCCTTTGCTGATCATATTTTCTTTCTCTTTATCTGCAATGCTTTCCTTCTAACAAACGCATAAGCAATGTGTGTACTTCCTCCTACAGTGACCATCTCAGCTTCATATTGGAGTCCTTTTTGAAGAAACGTGCTCCTTCCCACTTCTGCAAGCTTTTCTCGGGCTGAAGAGCAAAAAGATTATGTAGTTATATTTTCTGAGTTGATTTTTTGATTCAAACATTACAGCGTAAGATAGAAGAAAGCATTTACTCTTTTTTTTTTGTTAAAGAATTTGCACAGTATCTGAATGTTGAATCACTGTTGTGTAGGTTGAGTTAAATACTTTCAGGTATCTGTGATAAGTACTGGCAGGGAATGAAGTTAGAATATAGCGAAGATACTTTGTGGCTTGGGTTTTGATGCTTATTTTAAAATTACGCATCTCAAGTCATCAGATGTCTTAACATGGCATTTTTGTATGTAGGGAATGTTATTAGGATAGTAAAAGGGCTGGTGTATTCTTTAAAAAGTTACCAATGTAACTCTGTCAATTATGCCAAACTTAATTTTTCATCTGATACAGTTAAATTGGCAAAATCCTGATGTAGGAAAGATGCCACATATTGCTGGGGTTTATTT